CGAGGTCACCAAGGAGTTCACGCTGCGGATCCGGGCGCAAGACGGCGGCCGCCCACCGCTGTCCAACATCAACGGTTTGGTCACAATCCAAGTGTTGGACGTCAACGATAACGCCCCCATCTTCGTCAGCACCCCCTTCCAGGCCACTGTGCTGGAGAACGTGCCGGTGGGTTACTCTGTCATTCACATCCAAGCCATCGACGCCGATTCGGGTGACAACGGGCGGTTGGTCTACACCCTCCTGGAGACTGGCGCCGGCTTCCCCTTCACCATCAACAACAGCACAGGCTGGATCGTGGTGGCCTCCGAGCTGGACCGGGAGGCGATGGACTTCTACAGCTTTGGGGTGGAGGCGCAGGACCAGGGGAACCCCCCCATGGCGTCCTCGGCCAGTGTCAGCGTCACCATCCTGGACGTCAACGACAACAGCCCTGAGTTCACGCAACGGGAGTATGGCACGCGGCTGAACGAGGACGCGGCGGTGGGCACCAGTGTCCTCACCGTCTCGGCCATCGACCGTGATGCCAACAGCGTCATCACCTACCAGATCTCCAACGGCAACACCCGCAACCGCTTCTCCATCACCAGCCAGCGTGGGGGGGGGGGACAGGAGCGCCTCTCGTCCTCACCATCGCCGCCTCCGACGGCACACGCCAGGACACGGCCCAGCTGGTCATCAACGTCACCGACGCCAACACCCACCGCCCCGTCTTCCAGAGCTCCCACTACACTGTCAACATCAACGAGGACCGGCCAGTGGGCACCACGGTGGTGGTGATCAGCGCCACGGATGAGGACACGGGGGAGAACGCCCGCATCACCTACCTGATGGAGGACAGCATCCCCCAGTTCCGCATCGCCGCCGAGACGGGCGCCGTCACCACCCAGATGGAGCTGGACTATGAGGACCAGGTGTCCTACACCTTGGCCATCACGGCACGGGATAACGGCATCCCGCAAAAATCTGACACCACCTACCTGGAGATCCTGGTGAGTGACGTCAACGACAACGCGCCCCAGTTCCTCCGTGACTCCTACCAGGGCTCCGTCTACGAGGACGTCCCCGCCTTCACTAGCGTCCTCCAGGTCTCGGCCACTGACCGCGACTCGGGGCTCAACGGGAGGGTCTTCTACACCTTCCAAGGCGGTGACGACGGCGACGGCGACTTCATCATCGAGTCCACCTCAGGCATCGTCCGCACGTTGCGCCGCCTGGACCGGGAGAACGTCCCAGTCTACACCCTGCGGGCGTTGGCGGTGGACAAGGGCGTCCCGGCCAAGCGGACGCTGGTGGAGATCCAAGTGATGGTGTTGGACGTCAATGACAACCCGCCCGTCTTCGAGCGGGACGAGTTTGACATCTTCGTGGAGGAGAACAGCCCCATCGGGCTAGTGGTGGCCCGCATCACGGCCAGCGACCCCGACGAGGGCACCAACGCCCAGATCATGTACCAGATCGTGGAGGGCAACATCCCCGAGGTCTTCCAGTTGGACATCTTCTCCGGCGAGCTCACCGCCTTGACTGACCTGGACTACGAGACCAAAGCCGAGTACGTCATGGTGGTCCAGGCCACCTCGGCGCCCCTGGTCAGCCGGGCCACTGTCCACGTCCGCCTGCGCGACGTCAATGACAACAGCCCCCAGCTGAAGAACTTTGAGATCCTCTTCAACAACTACATCACCAACCGCT